TTGTCAGTTTCGGTCTGATTTTTACGAAATTTGAACTCATCCGTCCTTAGGTAACAATGATATATTGTAACGGTTTTTTAAATCGGATAAAAATTGTGACCTCTACAGGGGTCCACAAACTAAAAACATGATTTGCCATACAATCAGGGGCCATAATTCAGGAAGTTATGGTCCGTTATGCGCGAAAATCAAAAGGAAGCAAGATCTGTGGGTTATAAACATACATGTCAAGTTTAAACCAAATCGGATGAAAATTGTGACCTCCAGAGGGTCCACAACCCTGATACACAATACTTTGACACTATTTGCGAACGAGGGGCGGCCATTTTGTCCGTCAGTTTCAGTCCGATTTTTACGAAATTCGAACTTAACCATCCTTAGGGTGTAACAGTGATATATTGTAACGTTTTTTTTTAAATCGGATAAAAATTGTGACCTCTATCACTGAGAAATAGGTAAAGGTTAAAACGTACGTTTGCCGCATTAAAAACTCGCAAAACGGTCAATACCCACGTATCTCGATAAAAAAATAAAATTCGGATTATAACTCCTCATTATGGCTTAAAATCTCTAGATAAGGTGTGTTAATTAACAAGGGTGAAAAATGGACTGAAAGGCGAGTTAATTATCGCTAGGTGTGAACAACTCTGGGACGGTGCGTTTTCTGTACTGAGTATGTTAATTAACCGACGGGTTAAAAACGAATGACACGGTGTGTCTTGTTTAATTGGTGTGTTTTCTCGATAGTTGTTATAACTGCACCAAAAGGGTATAATCAAGGACCAGCAGACTTTATCTGACGCGTGAGTGTTAAATGGAAACTTGGGAAGGAAAATTGTTTTTACCATGCGATTTTTCATTCGCCGGTGTGTTTTTCGCAAATAGGACTTTGTATAAAGACAGGTCTTTATATGTGGAAGTTGTACGGGGCTGTTTCTTCTATGCGTCTTTTGTATTTGTTGATGAACATAAGACGCAGTACGTGTTTTATAGTCACGCCACTTATAAAGTTGCATAATAAAATATAAATATGGACCCTAATCTGTCGTAAAAAGGTGAAAACAATGTCGTCATTTATAAGTATCCAGCAGTCAGGCCCCAATTTGAATATATCCGGGTATATAGCAATAAGCTAAATTTACCGTATGTCTATATATATTTTTTTGTTCTGACAATTTATTGTTTTGCGGGTTGAAATTAGTACCACGTAAACGGTAACTCATTGCCGGTTTATTGTTTTGCGTGTTGAAATGAGTACCGCGCAACCCGTAGCTCATAGCCAGTTTATTGTTTTGTGTGTTGAAATTAGTACAATGTACGTAACCCATACTTGTTTCGTTGCAACTTTTAATAGATAACCATTTTGCAATTATATTTATATTATAAACAAAAAAATGTTAGCTGTTCAATAATAATTGTTATATAGCCAGCGTATTTAACAATCATCACATAGATGGTTTCCTATACCGTGAGGGTTTGAACAGTGTTTCATTAATAATTAATTAGACCTAGCAAAACTTATTTAACAATCGTCACATATAGATGGTTTCCATAGCGGTCAGATTAAAGTACATAGTTGAGTATTGGTGGGAGGACATGAAATTTCATATATTATATAAATCCCATGTAATTTCGTCAAATCACTTCCTTGTGGAAGCAGGCGCTACATTAAGTTATTTGAGACACACTCTTCTATAATTAAACTAATTTTCTTTACGATGTCGGTTCGATAACAGTGTTGGTGTACGCGTTGTGATGGAAGTGAAGAATATAATCGTCGAACTGTCGAGGAACACATCGTAGCCGAAAGAGACCGAGGGATTATTAAAAGATGTATTGCATAATGGTGTTTATTTTGCCATCCGGTTTAACAGTTCGCCGGATAATGAAATGTCCTTAGAAATAGTCAGGACCCACATAATGCGCACAATAATAAATTTTCTGAAATAATAATAATTCAAACAAGTCAAATGATTAATTGATTCCAAGTATATATCATGGCATGTCAGTACAGACTACTGCAATAAGAGTTATTTTCTTTATTACAAATAATCACAAATAACCAAATCAAAATAAGACAATAATCGTCATAAATTTATTCACATTTTTGATATTTTTAATAATACCATTATTGATCATGAAAGCTAATATTTCATTTTCAGAGAACGTCTATTGGAAAATTGCTAGCTGATCCAACAGATTCCCCATTCCCCACATTGCAAAACAGATCAACATGTCAAATCGATTCAGTTACTGGTATAAGGTTTCAAAATATCATGTCTTAAATAGCCCCTTCGTCCCTTTAAATATATATTTTTTTTATACTTTAACTTATAAATGCAACACACAAACTGCTTACCGTATTTATACAATAGACGATAAATATTCCAAAGAATAACCCGGTTCAGTTTCTTTCCAATAATTATCACAAAAACAAATCATTAAATTTCATTTTTCCAGTTAACATATCGAAGAAGCTTTCAATAAAACACCTAACAACCAGATTATATGAATGGAATCTTGTCAGGACAGAACTTAGATTAATAGTAACTGATGCGACAATTACATCAAAGAGTCCACATCGAAAGAGTACAAAGGAAATTGCCTAACAAAAAAGCGTGTATTAGTTAAAGGGGCATGGTGCGATATAAGGGATGATTTTTGTGCCAAATTACAAAAATTATCACCACCGGTTAAGGAATGATTTTATTGACAGGAGTATGTCAACTGCGAATATGATGATTAAGTATTCTTTTCACACGCTGCATGCGCCAACCTTCAAGTCTATACCGATTCAAAAATTTAATTATCTCTCATATCCACAATTTTTAAAGCCTGAGTTTTATCGTAAATAAAATTAATAGAATCCGTTGTAACCTACTGGTAATACATGATGTAAATTGCAGGAGATGGGGTGTGCTATTCATCGCAGCCCGTTCGTAATTTAGCCATGACAACGGCACATATTCTGTGTGAAAATCCAGATTGGTCGCGTCCCAATGATTTCTTACTACAAGGACGTAACTAGCTCAGAGAAACGATGGGGTGGGGAGTGTTCTCAAGGGGTGCTGTAAAATTGACGGACAATGTATATCTATTGTTTTTATGGACGACAATTTTTTCAAAGGGGAGGGGGCAAATTTTTGCGGGGGTGGGGGGCTTTGCCCCACCTGCCCCTTAGTTACGGGCCTGACTTACTGACAATACAGAATATAAGTATTGTCTACAAGACTACGGCATGATAGCAATTTATTGTTAAAGGGGCTTCTATTTTAGTCAATTATCGATTCCTATTGATAGCACGTGTGAATTCACGTAATTTGGAAACTTGACTGACAGTATGCATTGACTCAGACTTTTTGGTGGCGAAATGAAAAGGTCATCAAGGTATTATCCGACTGATAACGTGATAATGTGCATGTGTTCAGCAAGGTTGACAGTGACTTCTGACGATGTGTGCTTAAACACAGGAGATGAAGGTATTTAATTCATTTGTGATTTAAACCCGAAGATATATTACTTCAGATGTGATTTATCAATTTAAAATGCATTGTGTAACTTATTTGTCAGAATGGAAATGGCTATTTCAATGGACAAAACTTTCGCCCACGGTAAGACCAGCATCTATGTGTGTAAATTCCGAAATTTCGTAATTTTAATGAGTTTGAAATAGTCGATCGATGCAAGTATTAAAATGTCGAACATATTGATGAAGTAATGTATCGGTACAACCGTAATTCTGTTTATTTTATTATATAAATGCCTGCCAATGTTTGATATTTGTTATATTTTCAATATAAGCCAGTAAAATCTGCGTGTCTAACCGTGTTAAATTAACAATCTTTTTTTGCATGCCGTATTAGCTGATATTCGACTACGATATCACTGCCGTGGAATCGCACGATAAAGACATAAACCTATTTCAAACCAGCTATGGATGTGCCGACTGTACATGCGTGAAAGTCAGACTTTTTAAAATTCGCCGTGGATGGCGGTTTAAAATAATCACGGAGGTCGGCAGTTTACTCAAATTCGCGAAGGAAATTTAGAGCGGAATTTTGAGCTTGGCCAGAGCAGATTGATTAACTGACGTCGTCGATATTTACATTTATATTTTATTATGCAACTTTATAAGTGGCGTGACTATAAAACACGTACTGCGTCTTATGTTCATCAACAAATACAAAGGACGCATAGAAGAAACAGCCCCGTACAACTTCCACATATAAAGACCTGTCCTTATACAAAGTCCTATTTGCGAAAAACACACCGGCGAATGAAAAATCGCACGGTAAAAACAATTTTCCTTCCCAAGTTTCCATTTAACACTCACGCGTCAGATAAAGTCGGTTGGTCCTTGATTATACCCTTTTGGTGCAGTTATAACAACTATCGAGAAAACACACCAATTAAACAATACACATCGTGTCATTCGTTTTTAACCCGTCGGTTAATTAACATACTCAGTACAGAAAACGCACCATCCCAGAGTTGTTCACACCTAGCGATAATTAACTCGCCTTTCAGTCCATTTTTCACCCTGGTTAATTAACACACCTTATCTAGAGATTTTAAGCCATAATGAGGAGTTATAATCCGAATTTTATTTTTTTATCGAGATACGTAGGTATTGACCGTTTTGCGAGTTTTTAATGCGGCAAACGTACGTTTTAACCGTTACCTATTTCTCAGTGTATGGGGTCCACATTTTTCGTACAATCAGGGGCCATAATTCAGGAAATTATGGTCCAATATGCGCAAATATCGAAAGGACCCGAGACCTGTGGGTTTAAACCAAATCGGATAAAAATTGTGACCTCTACAGTGTTCACAAGCTAAAAACGTGATTTTGTGTACAATCAGGGGCCATAATCCATGAAGTTACAGTCCGATACATGCCAATATCGAAAGGAACCAACAATTGTGGACGGACGTCTGGACAGGGGTAACGACAATCTACGTCCACATGAAAATGTGGGCGTATAAAAATAAAACAAAAGTAATTTCTAAAGCTGCTGTAATAACCAATATGCTAAATTTACTACTATTCAGAATCGTCAACAATAGATTTTTTTACGGCTGTAATAGTTGATAGATGTGTAGAGAATTTCACGTGCGATGGCTATTTATAGACTTAAGACTCGTAGACTCTGTTATTGCACTGCGTGATTAGCCAGAAATTACTTCGAGACAATTAAGCCACTGAAGCGTGCACATTCGTAGTGTCGAGTTCAACTTTCTGTAGGGAAAATTTTCGCTGCACAGGGCATCCTATCAAAAGCTGATTATTGACAAGATATTTTGACTGGAATATGCTTATGGATAGGGAGTTGAGATTATTTTCTATATGGAGATGGTAATAATTTTAACCAAAGGTAGCACATATCTGGAGATTGTCACAACAATCCATAATTAATCTAGATAATTATTTTTATATCCTTATTTAATTAAATAGGCCTTTCCAATTTCCCATGTATCAACTATGTGATTTAAAGATATATTTAAACTTAAAACCAAATTCAAAAGTTTATCAAAAGTTTGCTTCAATTCACTATCAAATCATCTGAATTTCAAGGAGCTATCCCAAATCATAAAAATCTATTTTATGCAGTCTTGTTTATCATGTGACTTGATTAAGGGAGGATTCATTTCCAGCTTGTATTTAATGTTACATCCCACTTCTACTCATTGCCACTGGCAACCTTTGATAAAACTGTCCTGTTTAATTGCAATACATGCTTAAAAGTATCATGTATCAGAAATGTACAGAAAGAGTACTGATCATTTCTGATACAGGGATACTTTTATACCGTTTTAGATATCTATCAAGCAATAAGTAGCGGACGTTTAGCCCGACCCAGATCGCAATTGATAACAAGGCTCTAACCAATGTACATGAAACAACTAGTCAAAATCATAGTAACAAAACAAAATGGGGGGAACTACATGGCAGTTCAAAAACATATACAATGACATTAAATTAACATAACAACATATTACAAAAATCAATTATTATACATACCAATTGGCATCTATTTCATAATTTGGTTTGATTTATATTAATATGCAAAATATATAAATTAGAATATTGAATAATTATTTTAATTAATTGTGATGATAGAAGGCGCAGTTCTCTTGCTGGACACTTCACAGGCATTGAAAATAAGCAGGATGAAAAAATCGCCTAGAAAGTCATAAACTTTATAACAAATAAATTTCAACGGAAGAACCATCCGCCGATGCATACTTTCACCAGGAATGACCCACGTTTCGCATTTCCTTTACACTACATTTAATAATATCGCAGTCCTCTACGCCATAGACATTGTGTTGACGATGTGGTCTAAACAAACACGTGATTGTTTTACGCTCAAAGTATCATAGCAAGACGCACGTGTGAATACTACTCAGGTCGTCTCTCCACTGCGAAATCATTCTACCATGAAATGTAACGTGAGGCTCAGAAAGGGATAAATAATGAAAGAACAGAAAGTATTTGTCACTTTTCGGTTGAAACGACTCGATAATAAATACTATTTTTCACATTTTGCTTCACAATACTCGATAGAAATGTGATGTAAGTAACTTATTAGCACCTTTCCTCGGTGTATCGGTGAATATCAGAACAGTTTTGGTCTGAAGCCGCCCCAGCTCCGCCTCGGCTGGGCCCCTCGACCAAAACTGTCCTGATATTCACCGATACACCTCGGAAAGTGTGCTAATAACTACTACTTACTGGCTGAGTCTGTTGTATAGATAAGTCTCTCACCACTAGCCATTCGATCAACACATACCAATGCTCCCTATGTCACTCAAGCAGACTACAAGCCGACACTCTTACAGTTTTGTCACGTGTGCACCCCACGGGAGTTTTTCAGGGAATCCAGTATTGAAAATAATTAGTTTATAAATTCATTTGTGGGAATGCATCTTTAATTCACCTAAAGGTTGAACTACAAAGGTTTTTGACTGAGATATTTACCCATCCCTGGTAGAAAATGACCCTGTCTAACTGTCTAGTTTTAGTAGAATATCAAATATCAATAGAATAACAATATATACAATGTTTATTTCATGGTATGCTAGACATTTGGATGAAAACAGTACTAGGTAACATTTAATGTGGACTGATGAGCCCATGATGTATCTATTTTTAAGATCTCTCGTAATGCCATTGTGGCATAAGCTGATGTTGGTAGTGAAAATTCTAATTTCAACGCCTTCCATTTACCACCTGTAAATGAAAATGGAATGAGGTTAACATGTTGATGACACTATTATTTTCTTTATCTTGGTTACTGTAAAACAAGAAATTAATGTTTCCTGAAATTATTGTGACCTGAAGCTGGTCATCATATGATGGCTGGCTGAAAAGTTCTAAGTCTGAAATGGATAGATCAATTGGGCTGAAACAAACTTTTGCCACCAATAAGTACAATCATTGAACGAATCATCTATATATATATAAATTTGATACTGTCGTTTGTCTGTCTGTCTGTCTGTCCGTCTGTTCGTCTGTTCGGGGTTGGCGGCTACACTAGGTCTGCCCCGAGTCTGAAATTTGGGGTATATGGGTAACTCGGATCGGGGAGTAACATAGGCCAGGTGGCGTTAGTCTACCACTTCCGGTTTCGGAGTTATGACCCTCGAGCAACGCCGGTCTGTTTGGGGTTCGCGGCTACACTAGGTCTGCCCCGAGTCTGAAATGTTGGGTATAGGGGTAACTTGGACCGGGGAGTAACATAGGCCAGGTGGCGTTAGTCTACCACTTCCGGTTTCGGAGTTATGACCCCCGAGCGAAATCTGTCTGTTCGGGGTTGGCGGCTACATCTGCCCCGAGTCTGAAATTTGGGGTATAGGGGTAGCTCGGACCGGGGAGTAACATAGGCCAGGTGGCGTTAGTCTACCACTTCCGGAGTTATGACCCCCGAGCGAAGTCGGTCTGTTCGGGGTTGGCAGCTACACTACGTCTGCCCCAAGTCTAAAATTTGGGGTATAGGGGTAGCTCGGACCGAGGAGTAACATAGGCCAGATGGCGTTAGTCTACCACTTCCGGTTTCGGAGTTATGACCCCCGAGCGAAGTCTGTCTGTTCTGGGTTGGCGGCTACACTAGGTCTGCCCCGAGTTTGAAATTCGGGGTATAGGGGTAGCTCGGACCGGGGAGTAACATAGGCCAGGTGGCGTTAGTCTACCACTTCCGGTTTCGGAGTTATGACCCCCGAGCAAAGCCGGTCTGTTCGGTTTTGAAGTTATGACCCCCGAGCGAAGCCGGGTATCCTGCTAGTAAACATATAAGAGCTGCAACTGTAGTATTATTATTGTCTTCATACCACACCATGAAATCACCAGAAATGGACAAAACAGTCATCAAGTACCTGCAACTGAAAGGACAAACCCCAACACAGATACATGCCTACATGGTCACAACTTTAGGGGATGATGCCCCTTCCTTTTCCACAGTAAAGAAGTGGGCCGTGGACAGAGCCTTGAAGTTGACCTGCATCCTGGAAGGCCATCAACAGCAACCTTTCAAGAAAACATTACCCGGGTGCATGACATAGTGACAGCTAATCAACAATTGACCACTCGACATATTGCCAGTGTTGTGGGCATCTCTCATGAGAGGGTTGAGCACATTATCGCCAACGAGTTAGGAATGACAAACGTTTCTGCAAGATGGGTGCCAAAACTCTTGACTGCGGATCAGAAACATATCAGATTCCTGACATCATGTGACAATCTGTGCTGTTTTGAGGAAGATCCTGATAATTTTTTGGCTAGATTTGTAACCATGGATGAGACCTGTTTCCAAAAATGAAGATAGGTTACCAGGCAACAAAACATACGCCTACAGCAGCTAAATCGTCCGAGCAGTCGACAAAGGTTGTCGCATATTTATTCTTTTGTGGGTAATTAGGGAAATTTAATAGACAATTTCATACAGATGACATTATAATTTTCGTCGCTTGAGGGTTCAAAAGGTTCTAAAAACTAACACAAGGGCTGTAACTCTGGAAGTAATCTACAGAAATTGTTGAAATTGAACAGGCTTTTTCGTTTTACTAATTCAAATAATGCATATAAATTTCATACAGATCGGATGATAACTTTTGTCGATCGAACGTTCACAAGGTTCAACAAAGTAAAATAAGGGGCATAACTCTAGAAGTAATTAACGGAAATTGCTGACATTCAATAGGCTTCTTCATTTCACTAATTTAAATGATGCATATGAATTTCATACAGATTAGGTGATAACTTTTGTTGTTCAAGCGTTCACAAGATTCAACAAAGTTAAACAAGGGCCATAACTCTAGATGTAATTAACGGAAATTTGCTGAAACTCAATAGGCCTGTTCATTTTACTAATTCAAACGATACATATAAATTTCATACAGATCGGATAATAACTTTTGTCGTTAGAGCATTCACAAGGGACAACAAAGTGAAACAAGGGCCATAACTCACGGCGTAATTAACGGAAATTGCTGAAATTCAATAGGCTTCTTCGTTTCACTAATTTAAATGATGCATATCAATTTCAAACAGATCGGATGGTAACTGTTGTCATAAGAGCGTTCACAAGATTCAACAAAGTGAAACAAGGGCCATAACTCTAGATGAAATTAATGAGAAATTGCTGAAATTCAATAGGCTTCTTTGTTTTACTAATTCAAAGGATGCATATAAATTTCATACAGATCGGTTGATAACATTTGTTGTTAGAGCGTTCACAAGGTGCAACAAAGTGAAACAAGGGCCATAACTCCAGAAGAAATTAACAGAAGTTATTGAAATTAAATAGGATTCTTTATCTCACTAATGCAAACAACATATATCAATTTCAAAACAATCAGATGATAAATGTAGTCTGTAGAGTGTTCACAAGAAATTGTGGACGACGGGGGCAACGGCAATATACGACCACATTTCCATGTGGGCGTATAAAAAAGGAACTAGCCGCTCGTCATTTTCCTAGTAATGATGACATCATTCAGGCCTGGCAACATTGTTGGCAAAAGCGTGCACACCACAAAGGAGACTATGTAGAAAACTAAATGGAAACCATCAACTTTGTACAGGTCTTTCACAGACAGACTTGGAACTTTTCAGCCATCCCTCATAAATGCATTTTGAAATTAATGTAACTCCTGACATGGGGAAACAGGGCATTAAATATCTTGATATTTCTTGACAATCACCTGACATGCGGAAACAGGGCATTAAATATCTTGATATTTCTTGACAATCAAAATGGATTTCAGCACATTCTAGTCTGAACATTTACCTTCTATAGACTTTGGTTCCTCCACACCATTTAAAATATCTAAATCACTCAGTGCTAAAGACATAGTATGATCATTATAATATATAATTCTTTTATTTACATGTGTTGGTTTAACCACCATCTTTCTATATGTACCAGGTACAGAAAAATCTCTGAAATAAAAGATATATATCATTTCTGATTTATCATCCACTCCTCTTCCTCAGTCAACATCCATAGCTGCACCAAATATGATAACTATATCTTAAAGGCTGAAGGTGGGGAATCGCCACCCGAGCTGTGAATTTATGAGACCAAGTTTTCCTAGACCAGTTTTTCGTGTAGATTCCGAATCTGGGTGGTGATCAGGCATTTGCGGGGGCGTTTTCAAGATATAGGGGGTAAAATGTCTACAATAGGGGGGGGGGGCATTATGTTGACATAATATATTAATAAAACATAAATTTCTAGGACTGCCCATTTATAAATAAGTGTTTATGATGCCCCTGGACAACTGTTATGATTTGTGGGGAGGTGGAGTGGGGATAAAATTGTCGGGAAATGAGTTGCCCGTGGGGGGGGGGGGGGTGCGGGTGGCAACATGGATTTTTGTGGACAGAAATCATTTTGTTCATAGATTAGCTTAAAGTGATGTCTCGTTAGCGTTTTCGTTCAAAATATCAAATTATAATGGTACTTTTCAAGAGATCTGGAAATGTAAATCAAAAACACAGTAACTCAGAGATATGTTCAGTTATTAGTTTATTCTTTGTCTTCATCAGTCCAACCTCGTTGGTTTTCTCCGGGTGCTCAAGACCCCTACGCGCAAGGGAATTATTAAAATATAACTAAAACCATATGTTAGTCCCGAAATGACCTAGTTTGTGTCGGGTGGACGTTAAACCCCCATTTCTCTTTTTGTCTTCATCAGAAGATTCAAAATCAAAAGTTCATATGAGCGAGATAAATATTTTCTTTGTAGCTGACCAACAGCTTGCATATCCTTTGGATATGCTTCAAAAACCAATTCACATTGTAAATCTTCATTCCAGCCATGCAGCAAAGGACCACGTATACGGCAAGATGGTAATAAAGAAAGTTCTGTTATTTTTTCACCCAGAAAATCTTTTCTTCTTGCGTCATCTGCTGATGTAAGTCGTCTTTCGCAATATTTTCTACCTTTGCCCGTCTCATAATCAATCAAAATTTGTATATTTGGATCATCATTTGCAACAGAATGATTGGGATGTCTATTTTGCAAGAGCAAGAACGCAAAATACAATTTGTTTCAGCAACTACCATTAATTTTCAATGCGAAAAGGAGTAGGTAAGATACATGCTTTCAGTGGTAATGACTATCTGTCTTTCTTTTTCAAAATAATCCCAACTTTCTAACAATTTTTAAAGAGCTGGGATAGACAAATGATGTTTCTGATGACGTACTTGCTGGTTTAGAAAAAATTGTTTGTACCTTGTACGGCGAAAACCGACTTACAACAGTAGATGACACGTGAAGAAAGATCTTCTGGAGGAATTTTAATCGTGATGAAAAATAACAAAACTTTCTTTCTGTATTACCATCTTGCCTGAGTAGTCTTTTGCTGCACATTAAACACAACAATAGTGTTGCAACAATAGGGAGACAAGCTGCAAAACCGATGATCGAACAAGATAACCCTGTGATACAAGGCTGGAATGAAGATTTACAATGTGAATGGATATCTGAAGCATATCCAAAGCATGATCAGCCATCAAGAAGATATCTATCCCGCTCATATTATAAGAATAAACTAATATCTAAACATGTGTTTTTTATGTACATTTCCAGATCTCTTGAAAAGTACCATTATAGTTTAATATTTTTAATGACAATATTGGTACTGAGCCAAAACTCAAGAAAACACTTTTCAGATCAATTTTGAACGAAGTGGTTTCTGTCCCACAAAATACATTTACCCTCCCTCCCCCATACAATGGTAATCTTATACACATATTTAGAGATGTGCAGTGGAATTAAGAATTAAAAAGTAGTGTTTTTTTACCAAGCTCTAAGAAAATCATCAATTAAATCAACGTGAACTCATTTCCCGCCAATTTTACCCCTCCCCCCATCCACACACACACACCTGCTACCCCCACCCCACAAGTCAAACAGTTGTCTAGGGGCATAATAAACACTTCTTTAGAGATGGACAGTCCTAGAAATTTATGTTTTATTAATATATAACATGATCATCATTTATGTCAATATAATGACATGCCCCCCCTCCACACATGCACACCTACACCTGGTACCCCTCCTCCCCACAAATCAAAACAGTTGTCCAGGGACATCATGAACACTTATATAAAGATTGGCAGACTAGAAATTTATGTTTTATTAATATATTATGTCAACATAATGACATTGCCCCCCCCCCACCATTGTTGACATAGGACCCCCTATATCTCGAAAACGCCCCCTCAAACGCCTGATCACCACCCAGATTCGGAATCTACACAAAAAACTGGTCTAGAAAAACTTGGTCTCATAAATTTACAGATCGGGTGGTGATTCCCCCCCTTCAGCCACCGGACTACTTAGGCTAGTAATACAAAATACTAAGGATGTAAATGGTCACTCGGTTAACCAGTCACAGTTCTGTTGCACTGTTCAACCAGTTAAAAAAAATTACTAACTGGTATTCGTTTTCATATCATACCTGACCCTCAAACCCAGGAATGGTAGCCACAACAATGTCATTTGTAACGTCTTTAAATTCCCACTTGATCAAGTTTCATCAAAATCGGATATAAATTGTGACCTCTAGAGGGTCCACAACTTTTGCACAATTTGCGTACAAAGAGCGTCCATTTTGTTGGGCTGTTTTATTTCAATTTTCCCGAAATTCGAATTCAACCTTCATTATGGTGGAATGGTGTTATATTTAAATGGTTTTTAAAATAGTAAAAAAAAAAAATTGTGACCTCTAGAGAATCCACAAGCTAAAAATGCGATTTTTTTAAAGGAGCTAAATCGCTAATATTTGGGACCTAGAAATTGACACAAGTGGGTCGCAACTCATATAATACCGTAATATGAATGTATATAAACTGATTTACATTCAATCGTTTCCGTTTTTACTCTAATTTCAAATCAGTTATGTTCCGTGAAATAAGCCAGCAGTCTCAATCGAGTGCAAATTCCTAGCGTCTGGTTGTTCCAGTCTACATAAGCCGTTTGGTTTGGTGCAATATGTCTAGCCTCGTTCCTCTAGTCTCTTGCTAGAACTGGGGCTGAAACGCATTATGGTACACGATTCGTGTACCAATGGTAAAATATTTATTTTGTCTTAAATATTGGATATCAGAAGCCCACCCTTTTCCGGTAAGATCACAGCATCAATGTTGTTTTAAATTGACAAATAATTCGTGTTTTAAATGTTGAAGATTTTGGATGATATTGAGTTAAAGACTTAGCTCCTTTAACTATCAACTCAACCAACATTACCACAAGCTAAAAACACAATTTTTCGTACAATCAGGGGTCATAATTCAGGAAGTTACGATCCGTTATGCGCAAATATCGAAAGCAACCTTGGTCTTTGGGTTACAAATATGCATTTCAAGTTTCATCAAAATCGGATCAAACCTTGATATACCAGATATTTACACTATTTGGGTAGAGGGGTGGCCATTTCATCCGGCAGTTTTGGTCCGATTTTCACGAAATTCAAACTCGGCCGATTTTCACAAAATTCAAACTCAACCCACATTACGGTGTAACGGTGATATATTCGAACAGTTATTTAAATCAGATAATAATTGTGACCACAAGGGACCACAAGCTAAAAACGTGATTTTTCGTACAATCAGGGTACATAATTCAGAAAGTTACAATTCAATATGCGCAACTATCGAGAGAGAGAGATAGACATGGGGTTTAACGTCCACTCGACACAAACTAGGTCATTTCGGGACTAACATATAGTTTTTAATTTTATTTCAATAATTCGCTTTCGCGTAGGGGTCTTTAGCAGTGGGAGGAAACCGGAGGACCCGGAGAAAACCCACGAGATACAGCACGCACGTGCTAACCATTCGGCCATCCAACCCCCAGCGCAACTATCGAAAGGAACAAAGATCCTTGGGTTATAAACATGCATTTCAAGTTTCATCAAAATCGGATCAAAATTGTGACCTCTAGAAGGTCCACAACCTCGATATACCAGATGTTTACACTATTTGAGTACGGAGGGGTGACCATTTTGTCTGAAATTCGAACTCAATCAACAATACGGTGTAACAGTGATATATTCGAATGTTTTTTTAAATCTAATAATAATTGTGACCTCTAGAGGGACCATGAACTAACCAGCGGCTGCCAGGCAGGATACGCTCACATTTTTGCAAGAGATGGATAGAGAACAAGCTAAACAAAAAGCAATTTTTCGTACAATCAGGGGCCATAATTCAGGAAGTTAAAATCTGATATGTGCAAATATCGAAAGGAACCAAGATCTTAAATTTCAAGTTTCATCAAAATCAGAAGAAAATTGTCACCTCTAGAGGGTTCATAACCGTGATATACCATATTTTTACGCTATTTGGGTACAAGGGGCGGCCATTTAGTCTGTCAGTTTTGATCCGATTTTCACGAAATTTGAACTCAACCATCCTTAAACTTAGATCTAAACGTTTTTTTAAATCGGATAATAATTGTGACATCAAGCTAACAACGCGATTTTTCGTACAATCAGGGGCTATAATTCAGGAAGTTACAATCCAATATGCGCGAATATCAAAAGGAACCAACACTGTAACATTGGTACCATTTAATCTGGCGTAAATAGCGTTAATTTCTACTCTGTGTCCAATTATTCATAAATATTGATGAATTTCGGCGAATATTGCTCAATTTGTACTTCTATCGAATTGCAATCTCACTGTTTAATTTTGATTACCAAGCGTCTAATTAACTAGTGTTTAGTTTCTCGACACGTGTTGAATTATATGCGTCCCGTCTAATTAGCACGACAGTTCAATAATTAGTTGGACCGTTCAATTTTCCGAGCCGTGATTAAAATCAGTCAAGGTGTCCAATTATGCAAGGTGTTCAATTTTGTTGTCAAACATCTAATTTCATGTGCGATGTTCAGATATTACAATGTGTTTAGTTGTTGGTCATCGTTCA